ACATATTAACTAACAAAAAATACCATTAACAGTGTTTTTCAGGTGCAGAGAATGGCTAACTGCTCAGTATAATAAAGATAATAATTGGTGTCCAATGAACTGTTTTTTTTTTATTTCCAGTTTTCTCCTATACTGTCTTACCTGATAGCAGACAAAGGGAAAGGGTCCTGTCCTGCAGACTCTCCAGCATCTCACTCCCAGCTCCCTTTGCAATTTCATCATGTGTCACTTTCCTGCTCATGTTTCAGAGTGCAGACAAATGGAACTACATTTAATGAAGAACATGCAATGCACTTTTGATGTCTTCATGTTCTGCTTTTATCTTTACTTCCTGTTCAGCAAGATTCATCTTCTCTTTCCCAACCTTTTCCCCTCTTAACTTTCACTCATCCATCCATACTCAACTTTGCCATCACTTTTAAAATATCTTCCCTAACACCCATGCAGCAGCATATCCCTTTCTCTGTGCTCCTGTGAATATATGTACCCTTTCTTATACAAAATGTTTCATGTTTATCTATAATATGTTTGTTTACTATTATGCCATGAACTTTGGCAAAGACTGAGCCTCTTACATTTCCAGTAACTAGTGCAATAACCAGCATGTAATAAGCATTATGTGTAAAAAATGTCTATAAATAATTGCATGAATGATTCTGCTGTATCCCAGCAAGAGCTCTGTCACTTAAAAAGTAATTAATATCCACATTTTACAGATAAAGAGACTGAGGCCTGGCAATTTTGAGGCCATAATTCTATGAAGTCCTGCATTGGGATTGGAAACCACCACTTCCCATGATTTAATGTTCTCTCAGTTTGCCTGGTATCATTTTTCTGCAGTAACTTGCTTTTGTGAATCATGAATATCACAACTTAATATATCCCAAATTTATATTCCTGAGGGTTTCAGGGATATAAAAGTTAATAACAGGGTGAAGGGTCAATTCACTAATCTTAGAAACTATGGAGAGCCAGATATATTGAATAAAAAAAAACTTTATTAGGAGTTAATTAATTCTAAGAAGAAATACAATATTTATGTCATGGTAGAAAGCTAATTTATATGGAGTTCCCCACAGAGAGAATAAAATAAAATGTTGGTCACTTTTTGCAATTTATGAAGTAGTAGTTCTTTACTCCTTTATATCTCCAGGGAACAGTTTTCAAGTAAATTTTCTAAGAGAGATTTTCTTCCTTGCTTCTCACATTAATATCCCCATGCATATTTTATTAGTAAAAGAAAATCAGTTGTAAACAAACCCTAGAGAAAATGAAAAGGACTGTGCTACTTGAAATGAGTGAACAAAAACATGTAGATAATGACTTCCTAGTAAAACAGATTTCACTTTATTCTTTTCTCCTTGACGGTGTCTACAAAAATATCCATCTTGTTAAAGCATCAAAATAGTCTCTGTCATGATTTATATATGTGTGATGTATGTATATCTTGGCTTTAGATTAACTGTAGGTATGTGATTGACCATGCATAATTTAACTACTTTAAAGAACTATGAGAAATAATGTATAAATTAAAATATATAAAAGTTAAAATAATAAAGTGAAATAAAAATTAAAAGGAATATGTCCACTTGGGAAAAAGTTTATTAACTAAGAGTAAGTAGCTTAATTTGCAAATAGAGATCCTTAACTTTCATACTAATAGGAATCTTTAGCATAGTAGTCAATCATTTTCAGAAAACTGTATGCAAATATGTCTCTAAAGACATGTTTTTGGTAGAAAACATTCGTTACATTTATTAGATAATCAAATGGAGTCCATGACTTAATATGTTTAAGAACTATCGATATGTTATCTCATTCCAATTTATTTGAAACTATCTGGTGCTCAATAAATACATGTTCAGAGGATATGTTAGCATTTTAACAAAAGGAAAAACATGCATAATTAATAAATGCATGAAACATATCCTACTTCATTATTAATTAAAGCAATTTATATTAAAGCAAACATCAAGTATCTTCTTACATCTAACAAAGCAGTAATTGCTTGAAAAACAAAACCAACGGGACTCCTAACAGCACTGAAATTATAATGCAGAAACACTTAAATTTACTTTTCTCTTACCAGTTAGTATGGGGAAGTAACACGACAATATTTAGCAAAACCCACAGAAGATTAGAATAGAATAGTGATTGCCAGAGGCTGGGGAATGAAGGAAGGATGGAAAGAATGTGGAAAGGTTGATCAATGGGTACTAAGTTATAGTAAGATAAAAACAAGAATTTCTGGTGTGCTATTGCACAGGGTGATCATTGATAGCAATAATGTTTATACACTTACAAAAGCAAGAAATAGGATTTTAAAAGTTGTCAATATAAAGAAATGATAAATATTTGAGGAGATAGATATGTTTACTCTGATTTTGACATTATAAGATATATATATTTATTCAAACTTTACATGGTGTCTCTTTAAATAAGAATGATTTTATGTTTTTATGTATTAGTTAAAATAAATTTAATAAATGTCTAAGATTTTTTTCTATTTAGTTACATATGACAAAAACACTAAATACCCGTTAGTAAATGTAAAAGCTTATTATTTAACATTTTTTAAAAAAAATATTTGTTTAGTTGTAATTGGACACAATGCCTTTATTTTATTTATTTTTATATGGTGCTGAGGATTGAACCCAATGCCTCGTGTGTGCTAGACAAGTGCTCTACCTCTGAGCCACAACCCCAGCCTCTATTATTTAAGGTATTAACAACCAAATCATCTAGCATCCTGAGGAATTCAATTCTTCAAGTGAATAATAATTATTAAAATTTATAAAATGTTTACTATTTATGATATATTAAATGTATTCATATAATAAATTCATATAGACATACAATTTGTGCATTATGAAATTCTGGATGCTATTCACATAGATTACAACAATCATGGGACTCCCGTGTTAATCTAAATAGAGGATTCAAATTCATGGTTAGTTTGAATTTGTTAATATGTTTACCTTTTGTTACTTGGGGATTATTTTATGGCATTCTATATCTTATAATATTCCACTATATGCAATTATACTATTAATGAGAGATAGCTGATAAATGTGGAAATCAAAGACTTTGATTCACATAATCTACATCAAGTTTATTTCTGTTACCTATTAGGTTAATTTGTTCTGACTTCACATATCTCTAATGAATAAAATGTTAAATTACATATGAATTGATTGAGATGATATTTTAAAACATCTTAATGAACAATAAGGTACTAGTAATTATTATACATTTTATAATAATGATAAAATTAAGTATAATAACATTTTTCATGTTAGAGAAAATGTTACCATATAAGATAAAATATATGCTTCATTGAAGTCATATTTTTCTTGTATTAAATGCACTAGAGGTAAGAGATGACATCTAGTTAAGATGTTTATATGTTGAACCTCATATTTAATGTTATTTCACACTAGACATATAGCATTGTTTATAAAATGTAAATGTTTCCATGCTGCCTTCAAGGCCTTTGTGCATTTAATTAACAAGAATAAAAATAGTATTCATTTTTCACTTTTAAGTGTTTCAGTTTTAATTAATAGTATGTATTTTATATTGAACTTATGACAATAAAAAGATCCAAAAGGGCAATCATTAGGTCCAAAAACTATTACTATCTATTTTTATTATTCATACTTGTCTACAAAGGAAAGACTTTCATATTATATACATGATTTGTCCTACACTATATCAATAATGCTAATATTAACTACATACATAGTAGGTTGTAGGAATAACACAAATTAATAAGAAGAATGTATTTTGTGAAACTAAATAAAATTTTCTGCATTTAAAATATATCACCCACTACCATTTCACATATTGGTTAAAAAATCTATGAATGAATTATATTATGATTTAAAGATAAACATATTATTAGCATTCATACATTTATTATGGGAAATATATTCCTTACTATGTCATCTGTTTTCAAGAAAAGTAAAGGAGATTTACTACTGAAAAATAATTTGAGAGCAAATAAGATTATTTTTTCAGGGCATTTCAGTTATGGTTCTTTTGATGCAAGTAAATAAAATATGAAATTCCAAAATCTTAAATATCTCACAAATGTACTCATTTAGTAAATATTAACTAATATGATCACATTTAGAGTAATTCAAAGATAGGCTTTGACTTTGAAAAAGCATTTCAATAAATCAAGATGGATGATTTTTCTGTCCATTTTACTCAGTACTAATTTCCAGCTTAGGTAAAGGAGATAATTTTTAGAAGCATGAATTCTGTAAAGCTGTTTCTTAATAATTTTTTACCCTAATCCTTTGGCATAATTCCTTGGAGATTTTTCTTTTGAGTATTTATATGTAAGCCATGAAGAGTATCATTTGCATTTTTATTTGAAATTTCCTGACTTTTAGATGAAAAGAAGTACTAGAAATCTTGGACTTCGAGGATCTCCCCCTCCCTTAAAGCATTTACATATTTATCAAACATATTTTCTGAGCTCTTAATTTGAGCAGACAATGTGCTAGGTTCTGGGGTGCAAAGATAACTAAGCCATGCTTCTGATCATTAGAAATCCTCTCCTATAAGGAGATCAAGCCCATGTTAGAGTATGTAGGTGTTGCAAAAGAGGGAGTAATTATTTCTACATGGATGGGAGATATTATAGGGAAAAGATCAGGTATAGTTTTACTGAAGAAATGACAGCTAGTAATTTCTTTTAATTATACTAGAGTAAGCTAAACATTATAGCAAAATAAATACTTTTCCACTTATTTCCACTATTTTTCTACAATGTATGATATTTGAATGACTATTGTCCTAACCATATCAATTATTTTTCAAATATAATTTTAGACTGGATGCCTAATACAAAAATCACTTATGTTTAATATAATTTATTAATGAACTTAATACTAACTATAAAATAATATTAGTAGATAATAATTGATACTTATTCTGGTGGTAAAATAAGAACTATATTTAAACTCTGTCTTTACTATTTTACATTGTAGATGAAAGAGAAGATGTTCAAAAGAAAACATTCACAAAATGGATAAATGCACAATTTTCTAAGGTAAGCATATTTGTTAATTCTCTTTTAAGATACAAGTGGTGGAATTTTCAAAATGGATTATATACCTGTGAATTTTAAATCTTCATATTTTCCTCATAGTGTTGTTTTTGTTTTAGCTGTGTAAAACTGCAAATATTACATTGAATCTTAATTAATAAATAGGATGATATATGGCAAAGAGATCAATTAATTTTATAAAAATGCAACTTTGGTTCTTGTCATTAATGTGTGTTTCTTTAATGACATGAGAGTTATCAGAGGTTTATAATAGCAATCTTCCTTCAAGTGGCTATTATATGTCATAAATTAGAAAAAGATACATGGAACTTTTATCATTATGAAAATTACCATGTTTTGTCCTTCTGTATCTTTACCAAGTTCAAGCAAAATTAATACAACTATGTTGTGTCCATTTGGTCACTATAACTTATATTTCCAATAATTTAAAATGAAAAATCATCCTCCTTTTCTCCAGATATTAATTTATACTCTTAATGTTTATGTTGCAACCAAACTCACAATCAATAGCACAACTATAGATAATTATATATGGACACAGAGTAAAATATTCTTATCTTGAAAAATAGCCTTTGGAATGCAATATATAAAGGTTTGTTTGAATTTCAAGGTTAGAAAAACTTGGATTTATATTTAATCACACTAGATTTAAGCAAGTAAAACTGTTTTGTGAGTCAGTTTTCTTATTTTTCCATCATATCTGTATGTATGCATTATTGAGTGTCTACTCAATAAATCCAATATAGACAATGGGAATATACTGCTAATAATGTTTTATTCCTACATCGAAGACTTTAAAGGTTGTAAGGATTTAAGAATTCATTTGAGGTGAAACTTTCTAGCACAATGCCAGGCACTCTTAATATATATGAATTACTCTCTTTGTAGGTATTTAAAGTCTTCAACTTTTTCTGAACTAAGTGAGATACACATAATAAACAAAGAATAAAATGTAAAAATACAGCAGAGTAATGAATGAAAAATGGACTTAAATATTTGGGATAGGAATTCATGATCTTCAGAATATCACCAAGATGGATATATGTAGTTATTTAGTGTATCTACTGGCTTCATTAAAATTTTCTTAATTTTTGGATTTTGAAAGACAATTAATATAAACTTTCAAACATTATACAGAAACCAGAATTATAAAAATATTTTCTGAAATAATAAGTATCACAATACTCTAAAACTTTTAATTAAACCAATGAGTCATTTTTATAAGGTATATAAACATGACAAAGACAAATACTCTGTATTCTAACTTTCATAAATCTATCTTCACTCTCTATACATTGATAGCCTCAAGTATCATTTATCATCACTCACTTGCTCATATACAAACCAAATCTTGATATTTTATATTCTATGAATACATTTTGGTACTACCCTAGAGCAATTAGATATATTATTTTCTGCCTTATGAGTGTCCATATTTTAAAAGTTGTGGAATAATCACATATATGAATTCATTAAATGCCTTTTCCCAATATTTTCATCCTCTAGTTTATCTTCCACTTATTTTATTTATTTTATAAGTATTTTCCTTAAACCTGTTATAATTAGATCACAAGACTCATCATTCTTTCAAATATAGAATTTCTAGTCTCAGGCATATCCTCCAAATCATGTAAATGTTTATAGAGATAGAAGAGAAAATTTACATATATATATATATATATATATATATATATATATAAACTTTTAATTTTGAGGGCTTTAAAAGTAGCTTTTTTATATGACCTTGTTTTTCTATCCAAATTTCACATATTACTTTTAGAAACTTATGAAGAAAAGAGGAATTAAAGGAAAACAGTTTATTCTGTTTAAACCAGTTGGTGATCTAAAAATTAAACCTAATTGTGAAGTAAATAATTTGATTCTTTACTGTGTAACTGCGTATCTCTCAGCAGAATTCTGAGCATGTAGGATAGGCATTATTAGTTGAAGTTGAATCTTCCAATCTCATGGTCTGTACATTGTCATTTGGGAGATGCTGACCAGTTGCTAAATGGAGTAGAACTTAGTAGGCTGTGTGTGGGTGGTCTGAGCCAGCAGTACTCTGGGCTAAAAGGAATCTGGAAACCTTTATGAAGAAAGGTCTAAACTGTGAACTCATGAAAGGAAGCAATATATACTTTATTTTATTTGTATTGGTTCTTTTTATTTATATATAGCATTAGAATTCATTTTGACATACTTACAAAAGCATGGAATGTCATGGGCTCTAATTCATTCCTCAGTACTTCCCCTTTCTTTCACCTCCCCATCCTCTTATTTCCTTCCGTCTATTCTACAGATCTTTCTGTCATTTACTTACATATTTAAAAAAAAAAAAACTTAGTGTCTTGTGGATATACATGATGGTGAAATTCACTGTGGTATATTTATATATGTACATAGGAAAGTTAGGTTACCCCAATATTTATTAAATCAGGGCACACAATGAATGTAATAAATATACTTGGTCAATAGTAAAGATAATTAACTTGATGATAAGTTAAAACAAGGAAAAATTCTGAATGGAAACAATGTATTAAAGAATCTTTAAAAGAGAGGAAAAAGCAACAAAAAATTATATGTCAGTATGGCAAATTACATGCACATATATTATAGTACAAATGAATATGAGTTCAAAGGTTTATCAGTGGAGTGTACACACATTTATATAATATTTGTAAATTATAGAGATATAGCAAAGGATCCTTGTTATTTTGTAAAGCCACAGAAAGGGTGTTTTAAAGAAATAAATTTGATTAAATATATCCTTATCATTTTAGTGTGATTGGAAGCCAAATGTGTCTATTGTAAATCCAGCTGATGTTTTACATTTTCATTTTAAAATAGACTCTATTTTTTTCAAAATAAGTCTTCTATTAACCTCTGATTCCAAAAATTTCTACTAGAATGTGATTTATCATATCCTTTCTATAAAGATAAGCAAACAATATTTATCTCCACATAAACACAAAGCCATTTTTAGATAAGATTAATTCAGGGTAAATAGTCTTTCCATGTAATTTGTAGATATGTGATAATCCTAAATAAATGTTTAATATTTATTTATAATAAATAAAATGTATATTATAAAAATCTTACTCATTCTCCAAGGCTTGTTAAGACAGTTTTGGAAATCATTACCAAAAATAATTTTGTCATAAAACTTGTTTGATGCTATGTGAGAATAAAAGTGTTTATTGTAGGTCAATTGAAATATTCAGATAAACCATCTCCCAATGAGTTGTGTTGTGATTTTGATCCTACACTGGTTTTAGTGATAATCACTACTTCCATAACTCCACTTTTCTGTCTGATTGTTCACAACTCAGTATGAAGCTTTATATTTTACTTAAATGAAGTAAGAATGTGCAATTACTTTTATCAATGGCTTCACAATGTCCTATGATATGATAGGAAATTTGCTATAACATATAGGCATACATCAGAAAGCTAGAACTCACCTTCTTTCAGTTTATCAGCTTCTTTACACCACCCTGTACTTTAGGGGAAAACATAGCCACACTTTAATTCATTTTGGAAAAAAAAAAAGTTAAACATAAAATTCAATTTTTTTGAATCTTATTTTCCTTGTATATCCATGCTAACTTTTAATAAAAAAAAATATATTAAAAGGGCATTATAAATAGTAAAACATAACCAAAAATATTGCCATTTTTGTCATTGTGGAAGATACGTACATTCTGAATTGAAAGAATCTTACATTAATGCAATTTATCTACTGAAACTCTTCCTCTTATTCACTTCTGTTGTTTTCCATGATGTCATCTGGTCTTCTTGAGAACATAACAGTTAAGTAGTAATTACTGTATCCCTAACTCCATGATTTTGTGATGCTGTTGAAACAATCGTGAATTTTAATTCTATGTCATAGTTTTGATGACTCATTTGGTACTTTAAATTTGATAACTCTCTTCCTACAACAACCAATACCCCCAGCAATCTGACTGTTGAAAAGTCAATCTCCATAACATTTTGTATTCTTCTTCTCCATGCTTATAATTCCCAATGGCTAAATAGTATACAAAATAGTGTAAAAGAGTATCTCAGTTATCAGTCTATTCTGGTTATTACTAGTATGCTTAAGGGCCAAGTGGACATGTCTGTGTAAATTGCATCCAGTCTACATGCTATGCCTTATTTGAACAAAGCTGGTGGGGGGTGGGGGGGGTACGGTTGCCAGTGTTGGAAAACTCTATCCTTGGTATCTGACCTCTACAGTCATTTAACAAGGATGTCTTAACACAATATCTGAAAGCTCTATGTGAGAATAGGGTGTTGAATTCAATATCATTTCATTCCCTATCTTTGAAGCTCATTAAATCTTTCTGAAGTCTGACTAAACTTTCTCCCATATCCTTTTCATTTAGAACCTTGTATGAATCCTTATGCAGATTGAGCATATCTAATCCTAAAATCTAAAATTTGAAGTATTTTGAAATCTGAAACTTTTTGAGTACCTAAATGATACTTAAAATATTTAAAATCATTTTAGATATTATATTTTGGAATTAGAAATGCCCAACTGGTAAATTATATGCAAATATTTCAAATGTGAGAATCTCTGAAGTTTGAAACATTTCTGGTTCCAAACATTTTGCATAAGGGAGACTCAACCTGTATCAACCAAGATTCTCAGAACAAAAATTTTGAATGGGTGATTTTCCTCTGGATGCCTGCTCACTTCATTCTTGAATGTGGTTTCAGCTGCCTTGGTTTGAAGCAGGAAGAATAGGACATTTATTTATGTTTTATTACCCCACTACATTTTCTACATTTTCTATGCCAGTTCATGCCCTCAACACACATACATATACACACACAGAAAGAGTAAGTATGTTATACATTTAAAATGAGTTACAAATTTCCGTTTTATAAAAGGAAAAGGCTGAGAGGGACATAATAGCAAAGTATTATTTTAGTGAAAGAGGTACCAATCTATATGTATCTTTCCTTTGTATCAG